TCTGACATGCTCCTTCATACAAGCTAATACAGCAATGCTCTTTAATCAACAGTTATTTCCACCTTTATCAGCAATGATAGTTGATCTCAGGAGAAGCTCCCCTACTCTGTCTCTGCTCACTATATTCAGCAGGTCTGTTTCAGTTGTGGAGTCCTGCTAGTTCCTGGGCTCCACAGTCTCTCGAAACTTGAGATGGATGACCAACATCAGTGCCAACTAGACAGCATTCAGAGAGTGCAAGCCTCCGCCAAGGCAGCTCACTATCCCCATAATGCCGTTACACCTATAAGCATTATTCCCATGATAGTTTGACCATCACAATATGATTCTTTGACCATGAAAACCTACCCCTAGCATTTAGAATAGCATTGGTTTTCTTCAGGATATTGCTCGAATGTGCAATATCAGTTCTAATGATAAGTATATACTATGTACAGTAACATATAATAGTGCAATAGGCAGTAGTACAGATTTATGGTTTTACTACACACTTTGATGTGTAGTAGCTTTTATGGGGATGTTATCATTTTGTCTGAGAACTGTAGGCACCGGGTATGAAGTTTGAAGCAAACTTTGACACTGGCCCTACAGTATCTCACAATGGTGAAGAATCCTTTAAAAAAGATTCCTGGATCTGGATGATGATCAAAATCTAATAGACTGTTCTGTGGGCCATCAAAATCCCTTCATTATCTTTTGAGATAAGCTGTGAAAGAACCAACAGATTTTGGTGAAAGCATAACCTCCTTGGTTGGAGGTTAGAAGAGCCAGCACGCTGGACAGATCTGGAATTAATCAGACTTGGCAGACAGAGCTCAGAGTTACTGAAATGATGCCAGATCCTTTCTAGATATATCAAAACAGAGCAAACTTGATGTTCACTTCTGATTCTGATTCTGGTTCATGTCAAAATGTATGAGCAGATTACTTGGCCCTGTGCAGCTGTACACTGAAATCCTGTGTGGGGGTGTGCATCACATTTTGTTTCATCAGTGTTGAAGAAACCACACAATCCTTTTGTTTTCTGGACTGACCACAGTTTTACAAGTTGTTGTTGGACCTGGTTTGAAATTATGTGGCCTACCTGAAAACTGGTTTTGTAAGATGTGGATCAACTCAGACCTGGTTTTAAAACAGTCTTGCCCAAGGACACTTCGACACGTGGACTGCAGGCACGAAGATTTGAACCTTCAACCTTCTGGTTGGGAGGCAGCTGCTCTACCAAACCAACTTCTGTTTTAATTAAGTCCCCCTCTCTTTGATTTAGTAACTGTTAAGGTGTTTGGAAAGGTGCTGTGCTGAAGGCACCTTAACTATGACTGAAAAACTTCCAGTAGTTTCCACACTGAACTATGTGATAGAAAAAATACAAACAGGTGCCTACATGTGTTGAAACTCTCTGAATCAGATGGAACTCTATGCGAGAAGCCCCGTAATTAAGAAAGATGCTGCCAACTTGTCATTTCAGTGGAATTTTAAAAGATAACTTCAAAAATAGCAGATAATGATGAGTTACCACTGAACAGACTTAGAAATTACTTGATACATATGTATCTGAGAACTGACATGGAATACTACTGATATTGTTTTTCCTCACTTTTTTGTGTTTATCTTTTATTTTGCTTTTGCATCTGGCTGTGCTTTTAGTTGTAAATAATGAAGCAGCACTTTTACAAACAAGAAAACACATTAAGGCCCGAGGCACAGAGAGGCTGATTAAGGAGCAGTTTGAGAAGCTTCACCAGTTTCTACAAGAGGAAGAGGAGGCCAGGATCAATGCTCTGAGGGAGGCTGCAGTGAAAATAGTCCAGCAGCGCCCCCTGCTGGAGGATCCACAGCTGGTCTTAGGAGCTCTGATAGATGTGGCCAAACACCTGGGCAACCTGGCCTTCAACATCTGGAGCAAGATGAAAGAGGTGTTCTCCTACACTCCTGTGATTCTGGATCCAAACACTGCTGAACTTCACCTCATCCTGTCTGAAGATCTGACCAGTGTGAGCAACTACAGCAAGTTTACTCACTTAAAATGTCACCAGTGTTCTAAGATTTACTTGATTCACTGCATATGTAAAGTACATAGAATTAATCTCCATGTTTCCTCCACATGAAAAGACAAAATCAAGAACAAAAATTATACAATTTAGTTAAGTTATTAGATTTGTTACTAGCATTATTTTAATTTTATTTTTTAACTACTAACCGGTCATGGTCATGGTCATGAGCTTTGGGTCATGACCGAAAGGGCAAGATTCCAGATACAGGCGGCCAAAATGAGCTTTCTCCGCAGGGTGGCTGGGCGCACCCTTAGAGATAGGGTGAGGAGCTCGGTCACCCGGGAGGAGCTCAGAGTAGAACCGCTGCTCCTCCACATCGAGAGGAGCCAGCTGAGGTGGCTCGGGCATCTCTTTCGGATGCCTCCTGGGCGCCTTCCTAGGGAGGTGTTCCGGGCATGTCCCACCGGGAGGCGGCCCCGGGGAAGACCCAGGACACGCTGGAGGGACTATGTCTCTCAGCTAGCCTGGGAACGCCTCGGCATCCCCCCGGAGGAACTGGAGGAAGTGTCTGGAGAGAGGGAAGTCTGGGCATCTTTGCTTAGACTGCTGCCCCCGCGACCCGGTTCCGGATAAGTGGAGGAAAATGGATGGATGTATGGAACTACTAACCAATACAAACCTAACAAAATGTACTTATCCATGTTTTTTATGCTTTGTTGCCTGAGTCTCTAGACTTCTCGATGCCGTTCCAAGTAATTTTCTAAACATTTGTCATTTGATAACCTTTGTAGGTTCAGACAACAAGAGACAGTCTTTTAAAAATGTATAACTCCTGTCTAGAATGAACCGCACAACATATTGGTGAGATGTGATTTTGTTGAGATTTTCTTGCTGCTGATCCATGACCCACTTCAGTGTACCTTTTCTGACACTTATTCAGATTTTTGAACCGTTATGTGTGGATGCTTACACTTGCTGTTGTAGTGATGGGCAGGTATGGGAGCAAAATATTATTGTCATAAATATTTATATGCATGTTTTAGGTATACAGACTTGTATGGACTAGACATAACACATTTAGAAAAAATTATATTTGCCACAAGTAGATTCACATACAGTAAAGAGTCACTGTATCTTAGTTTATACACTATGAAGCACTAAATAAAACATATAGCCTATGATTGTGTTTATATTTTCTATCTGGCACCTGATTGAACAACTGGATCATCCATCAGCCTAGCATTACCTAGCAAAGCTCCACCTCCAATTCACCTGAAACAAACCAGGAAGCAGACAGTTGTCTTTCCACCAGGAAGCGACACACACTGAGAGACAGAGAACAACAATTCATTCAGACATGACCCACAACTTCCCCTGAGGGAGGAAAACTACAGCAGAAAATACTGGGAGTACGTGGACCTGCTGCTGATTGCACTGTGAGTTTAAAGGGGGAAAACCAGCTCAGAGGGAATGTAACTTTCAGGGAACATTCTAGAGGAGGGAGTGGAGCCACAGTCGACTCACTTCCTGTTTAGCATTCTGCCCCGTATGTTTTTAGCCTCACTAAGAGAAATGGCTTTCCGTTCTGAAGAGGATCTGTCTTGTCCAGTCTGTCAGGACATTTTTAAAGACCCTGTTGTTCTGACTTGCAGTCATAGCTTCTGTATAAACTGTCTGCAGAGGTGGTGGAGAGGGAAAACTATACAGGAGTGTCCAGTTTGTAAGAGGAGATCATCAAGAAGTGATCCACCATGTAATCTGGCTCTGAAGAACCTGTGTGAGACCTTCATCCTGGAGAGAGACCAGAGAGCTTCAGAAGGGTCTGAGGGTCTCTGCAGTCTGCACTCTGAGAAACTCAAACTCTTCTGTCTCAACCATCAGCAGCCAGTGTGTCTCATCTGCAGAGATTCAAAAACACACAACAACCACAGGTTCAGACCCCTCCACGAATTTGCACAAGAACACAGACAGGAGCTCCAGAAATCCCTGAAGCCCTTACAGGAGAAACTGACACTCTTTGAACAAGTTAAAGAAAACTGTGATCAAACAGCAGAACACATTAAGGTCCAGGCCCTAGACACAGAGAGGCTGATTAAGGAGCAGTTTGAGAAGCTTCACCAGTTTCTACAAAAGGAAGAGGAGGCCAGGATCAACGCTCTCATGGAGGAAGAGGAGCAGAAGAGTCAGATGATGAAGGAGAAGACTGAGGCTCTGAGCAGAGAGATAGCAGCTCTTTCAGACACAATCAGAGCCACAGAGGAGGAGCTGAGAGCTGAAGACGTCTCATTCCTGCAGAACTACAAGGCTGCAGTGAAAAGAGTCCAGCAGCGCCCCCTGCTGGACGATCCACAGCTGGTCTCAGGAGCTCTGATAGATGTGGCCAAACACCTGGGCAACCTGGCCTTCAACATCTGGAACAAGATGAAGAATATGGTTACCTACACTCCTGTGATTCTGGATCCAAACACTGCCAACCCAGAGTTCATCCTGTCTGAAGATCTGACCAGCGTGAGACATGGAGAGAGACAGAAGCTTCCTGAAAACCCAGAGAGGATCAACTATCACCGCTCTGTCCAAGGCTGGGAGGGCTTTAACTCAGGGACTCACAGCTGGGACATTGAGGTTGGAGACAATGCAACCTGGTTTGTTGGTGTGGCAACAGAGTCCGTCCAGAAGAAGGGACGCTTAAAATCTGGGTTCTGGCAAATTGAGTTCTACAATGGAAAATACAGCGCACGCTTGTCAGGAGATCCTGCCATTATTGTTCGGGTGAAGAAGAAACTCCAGAGGATCCGAGTTCATCTGGACTGGAACAGAGGAAAACTGTCATTCTCTGATGCTGATACTAACACACTTATACACACCTTCACACACACTTTCTCCGACATGCTGTTTCCATGCATAGGCACTTTGAATGAACTCCCACTGAAGATATTACCAGGCAAAGTCTCTGTTACAAGAGAATAGCTCAGTCAGAGATGCCTATTAGGATAATATCCACAGATGGTGCATATTAGAAACTAACTGCATGCTTTGTGTTGTGACACTGAGAGGCAATAACATTTCAGATAAACAACATTTTTATGAAAATAGAAAGCTGCGTTTTCTTTTAACTTTACTATGATCTCCGCCTACTACTATAGAAAATATATAGGTAGTAGACAGTGAGTCTGTCAGGGCTTCTGTGCTGAAAACAGCTGCCTGATGCTGCTGGACTCCCATTTTAATTACCTAAATTTCCCTTGGGATCAATAAAGCTATCTATCTATCCATCCATCCATCCCATACAATTGAAACCAAAGCAATAAGCTAAATCAGGGGGTTTTCAACCAGTGGGTCATGCCCCCCCTGGTGGTACATAAAGGTATTGTAGCTGGCTCCTGCTGTAGCATTCAGTAATGTAGTTTCTTTTTTTATTGAAACAAAGTAACACATTAACAAAACAGGACCGAACATGGAAGACAAGACAACAGATACATGACATTACAAAAAGATATAGTGTTTTACAAGATTGTAGTGCATGAGGGTGGGAAGTGTGGGTATTTCCAACTTATGCAGTCCGTCATGATCCTACCCCTCCCTGCTCCCAGTTCACCCAGACTCCTGGTATGTCACCTCATCACGCACAGTGGTTTCACCTGTGCCTTAATCCTGCACACCTGTTCTCCATAGTATATAGCAGCTCCTCACTCTGTGGGGACAGATTGTTCTATGCCTCCATCTAGACTTTCCAGCGTTTCCCATTCTTGTACCTGACCACCCGGATATCGACACCCAGCCTGTTTTACCGACCTGTGAGTTAGCCGCTTCCCTCTTGTCTGTCTGCTCTGGTGATACCGACATCCTGCCTGTTAAACCGACCTACGATTCTGCCTTGCCCACCCTGGTGCCTTGCTGGAGATCACGACCTCAGACCGGACTGACCCTGCTCCCTGCCTTATCCTTTAAAGACTGTTACTGTTCCTGCTGTTGTCAAAGAGACATTAAAATCAGTTCTACTGTCACCACATGCTGGCTCTTTAATAGGGTTCACACACCTACCTTCTCAGGAACTGTGCACTCCAGATTCCTGACACAGTCTATGAAACGCAAGAAACAAAGGAGGAGGAGAATTTTTTTTTTATATAATAAGAATACTACTAATAAAAGCAGCTTGTTTAGAGATTGGTGGGAATGTGTGTGGCCTCAGCCCCAGGTGTTTGGTTCAAGTTGAAATGTGTTAAAAATGGGTTCTATGTGTCATTAAAAGCTGATAAACTATTCTTGTGAGTGGATGCCATTTTCTCTAGTGTGATGTATTCTATCAGAAGGTTGGTCCAGTGGTTTTTGTGTAGAGATTTGTTTGATTTCCTGTTTTGAAAGATTGTTTTCTTGGCAATAGCTAGAGAAATGAGGAGTGGGTTTTTGTATTTAATTGGTAGGTGGTCGATTTCTATGATATTACCGAGTAAGCAAAGTGATGGAGAAGGGGGGAATTCTACAGCCCAAGATGGTGGAGAGTTTCTCTGTCACTGCTATCCAGAGGGAATGAACTGGTTGGCAGGTCCAAGTAGCATGAAAATAACTGTCGGTGCAATCTAGAGTGCATTGTGAGCAGATGTCTGTGTCGGTAAAACCCATTTTGAACATTTTACTTTGTGTAATATGGGTCCTATAAATGGTCTTGTATTGTATAAGTTGTAAGTTTACATTG